CAGTAGATGGTGAAATGTTATTAATTGGGAAAGTTCATGGCTCTGCAGAGTGAAAGGACATTCCCTTGCCAGAGGGAGCCAAGAGTGACAGAGCGCTCTGGGCCTTCTGCCACGTGCTCTCTAGGAATTTGTTTTCCCTTTCTCTTTTGCTTTTTGTCTTAAATTTGTGTTTTGAGTCGACCTTGAGAAGTAAAGAGCAGTAACTTTGTCTAATAGGACTGGTGAATACATAATTGTCTGGAAAGTATGATGTATTCTGATGTACAGAGCCAAAGTTTGAAACAGTGATTTCTCACAGCAATCCTTTTGGAAAATGCTGCGTTTTCTACCTAAAGTCTTAAACTGCACTGTACTGCTTTCCTCTCCCTTCTCTGTCCTCTTCCAAAACAAGACAGTACAGCACAGGTTGGCCGAAATAAAAACGCAGATTTGTGTGGGCCGAGCTTTTATGGACAACTGTTTGCAGCTGCACGCAGACAAACGCCTGGACTCTGCCACAGCCTCCATGGCAAAGTACTGGTATGTGCTCACAGTCCTCTGGGGGTGGCACTTCAGTGGTCTTGGCTCTAATGATGTGGGCAACAAAAATCAGAGTTACACTGAGAACTAAGTTTGGTTAACCAGGTCAATTTCAAAATAAAGGCACACTTTTAAAATAGGCTTCCATTAATAACAAGATCATGCCTCTGCTTTAGCTTTAATTAAAAGCAAGTGCTCCATTGGTATTTAGACAAAAATTTACATTTTACTGTTAGCAATTTATTGTTGGTATTTTATTGCTTTTCTTTGTTGTTTTTTAGTGGGGTGAATGGCTTTGTTGTTTTTTTTTTAAGCAAAATTTGAATATTTGGAGCCAAATTTAAATATAGTTGAAGCTCTGTGATACTGTTTAGTTAATGTTACTTAACAATAGCTGTTTGGCCTCCTAGCCAGTTTTCAAAGCTATCTGATTTTGGGAAGAAATAGTTGGCTACAGCTGTTGCTGTAACTGAGACTGAACAGTGCTTTCCTATATTGTCCAGAACTACTTCTCCCTCACCCTGTCCTTGGTGGTGTCATATGTTAACTTAGTTTTACCAGAGCAAAACAACTGGAAACATCTAAGGCAGTGGTACGTGAATTTGTATAGTTATAGCTCATTTGCACATGAGCCATGAGCAAAGAAATTTATTGAAGATACACTTGCTTACAGGTTTTAGGCTTTTCAAAATAAGAACAGAGGAAATGAGCAGAAATATTTACAATGGAAGGAAGGGTTCTGAGTGCTGTTCCTGGCAGTGATTACCTAGAAGTACCAGGTACAGAAGCAGAGGCATTCCATTTTGAGGAGGAGGAAGCAACTAATGCCAGCTGAGATGTGCAGACTCACTTCCTCAGCACATTTCCCTGAGCTGGGCATTTGAAAGTCCCTCACTTTCACAGCTGTTTACCATCATGATTTGTTTGGGATTTCCTCTTTCCCCAGTGGTGTCCCTATGACCCTTCCATAACACTCACTTAAATGGTCTAGAAAATGCTTCAATGTAGAATTGCTTTATTCCCTAATGTATTGGGACATTCTCTCCAGTCTTGAATTTTCCTTCAAACTTTTTGTATAGTCAATGACTTGAGTTAGAGCTTTGAAGGAGTTTAAAACCTGGTTTGTGCATCTCTTTTTTCATATCTGGAAAAGGTCTGTAAGGTTGTTTTGGTGTGGTTTTTCTTGTGGTGACAGGTTGTGGTACATACCTAAAATTTTGAATTTGAGAATATATTTAGGAAAGACAGTTGCAGTAACTCACAGCTGCAGAATTACATTTGGTATCATAAACTGTGAGGATTTAAATGAATGAGGGGATGGTTTGGGGAAAAGAGCATTATTCCAGAAGAAGCAATTAGCTTTTCATTTTCATTTCTTCTGTTGCCACTGGAAGCTGTGTTCTTAGAAAGTGGGTTTTTTCATGTCTTCTAACTATAGCTTGAGCTTCCAGTGCTGGGAATTTTTTTTTTTTGCTATTAAATCCATATTTTGTTGTCAAAAAATGCTGTTGGAGAATTACAGTATGTTTAGAATTGAAGGCTATTGCAGAAAAGGCTATTGGGAAAGTTTATTGCAGAAAATAAATTATGCCCAGGTGATGGTTATGCTCAAAGAGTATCCTGGTGTGTTGCTAATGGCAGTGGTGATGGGGGGAAGCCTGGTTTATTGTTAATTTCTGAAAAGCTGAGTGATTTGGCAAGAAAAGAGACTGTATCAACTTGCTTCACAAAAGGATTCTCTTGGCCTGGGAGAAAGGTAAACAAGCCTGTCTGTTTTGAAACTTTTCCTTCTCCAAAAGCTGTCCCATAAAGGGAACAAACTTTAATGCATTCAATTGAGCTGTATTTATTTCTTACTAATCATGTTATGTTTTTGTCTTGTGAACATATCTTTATGTTTTGCAACATGATGTCCTTCTAAAATCAAATTTCCTTTTGGCCATTTAAGGTGTTCTGATCTCCAGAACAGCATCGCTACCCAGTGTGTCCAAATGCACGGAGGATGGGGGTACATGTGGGAGTATCCAATTGCCAAGTAAGTGTAACATTTCAGACTGTATGATGAAAGATTACCAGCAAAGTCAAATGAGGCACTTCCTTTGCATCCCTGTGTTAGTTGTTTGGTGTTAGTAGTGATTTAATGTTCCTTTTTTCATGTTTAATTGAAAGGGCGTCTACTGTACAGATATCTATGGGAAGACTTTGTTTTGATTCTCCAAATAACTCAAAATCTCTTCAGCAATTATTGTCTTATTGTCTGGTTTGTTTTTTTTCACAAAAGAAAAATGTGTTTTTTAGAAGAAAATGTTAATTGAAAAACAGAAGCAAAACTATAAAAAGTAGAAATGAGGAGAGCTAGTTTTATATTTTATCTGAAATTAAATGCGTATGGGTGAAGAAAACATGTTTCTTCTACCACTGAGTATCAAGTAATTAAATCAAGAGCATAACTGGCTACATTCAGCTTTTTTACACCTTTTAAAATTAAAAAGTTAAGGGATTTATATGTAGAAAAAGAAATCTGCCATTCCCATTTTTTTCTGCCTTTATGAATTTAGAAACATTTATGGTGCTTTTGTATATATCCTTCTGTGTTTGCTGTGAAGTTTGTGTACAAACGTTACACACTAAGTAGAGATTTTGTGCTGTTTTTATTATATATATTAAAGAGGTGGTAATCTGACAGTAGAAATAGCAAATACAAGACTGCTGTGCATTGTCATAAGTAAACTAATTTTTTTTTAACTGAGGTTTATATTTTTTTTAAATTTTAAATACATTGAGTATGAAATGTTGCTTTAAAATAACTTGTTCCTCCATGTTTTCATAGAGTGTAATTTGTGAGTGATCTGCAGTGTCCTATTAAAGAAAGGCCACTTTGGGGTGTCCTTAAAGCCCTGCTTGTCTGTGTGTACAGTAGTTCCCCACACAGGGTTTTATTATCTCTGTGCTCCAGTAATAAGTCAATTTCCAGGGAATGTCACTTTGCTCCTGTGTGAGGAAGCAGAATGGAGATGGAAAAGCTCTGTCATTGTCCTGCGTGCTGTCACCAGGAACAAGAATTGGGAGTGGAGTAGTAGCAGGAGTCTGGGTTTATAGGGCTTTATATTTTTGTTTAATTTAGAGGCAATAGTGGAGAGTTTACACTATAAACAAACAGGGAAGAGATGCTGACCCAGTTCCTGGTTTGGCACACCCCACCCTGGAAAGTTGTAATATTCTAGGTAGTTGAAGCCTCTTAGAAAATAAGCACTACTTTATCAATGGGAAGAGTATACTTTGGAAAGAGGGATCTCTAAAGAGAAAATGCTCTCTTTTTTTTTTTTTTTTTTTTTTTTTTTTTTTTTTGATTGTATGGTCATTCTGAGGCATTGTTTGTAATATCTTCTTTTGTTTTTTTCCTCCCTCAGAGCTTTTGTGGATGCCCGTGTTCAGCCAATCTATGGTGGTACCAATGAAATAATGAAAGAACTTATTGCTAGAGACATTGTCAGTGACAAGTAGATGCTTACTGCTTTGCAGAGTCTTGCAGAATCCTTTTCTATATTAATATATGACATAAAATCAGACATCAGAATGTAAGTAAAATAAATATGCTGTATAATGTTCTTTAAAGGAAGTGGCACTTAAAGCACATGTTAGTAATAACAGTGTGCTCACATGCAGGATATGTAATATTTAATGAATTTAAAATTTAAATGTCTTTGTACAACACAGAATAGTTCTCTGGGTGTCAAGAGCTGTGGTAGTGAAAGGCAATTTTATCTCTGGAGCGTTGGGTAGCTTGGTCTTTCAGACTTGAACCCATTGTGTTGAATCCAAACCTTGCTTTTCAGAAGCAAATCTTGAGAGAAGCCCTATTCATAACAAATAAACAACATTAAATATTAATGTAACTTTGAATTTGTATTTCCCCTTGAGAAGCAGAGCTTGACTCTCTTGCTGTTGCCATACACCTGCTCACTGTGCAGCAGCCACCTGGCGTGCAGCTGACCTCTATGTGTACATCTAATCCGGAATGCCTTATTTTAATTACTTTGGTCAAATAAACATAATAAAGCATTTCTATGCAATCTCACGCTTGTCTGCGGTTACTTCAAAGCCCGCGGGGAAACGGGGCTTCTCCCTCTGTGCCCGTGTTCGCCTCAGGGCGCTGAGGGGGAGTTCGGAGGGAGGCAGTGTGATGCAGGTGAACTTGTGGGCTGTTTATTCGCACTAGTAACTTGGACTGCGTGTCTGTTCAGGAGGGTTTTTTAGCTCTTTACCCACGCTGGGCGTTGAGAGTTGAAGCTGGCCGGAGCGGGGAGCGGCGGGGCTCCCTCCCCTCCCTCACGGCCCCGGCGCGCGGGGGGGTGAGGGGAGGGCGGTGTCCTCGCGTCAGGCGGGGCCCCGCCAATGGCGGGAGGCCACGCCCCCAGCCCGAGCCACGCCCTCCGGTGCCCCGGATTGGCCGCGCTCCTCCCCCTGAGGAGCGGGGGAGGCCCCGCCCCGCCGCGCTGCGCTTTAGCTGGGCGCGGACTCTTCAAGAGCGGCAGTGCGAGCCGTGGCGGGCGCCGTGCTGTGCGGGGTTGAGGCGGCGCCGGCAGCGGCGCCGCTGCGGAGAACCCGCCGGACGCGGAGGCAAGCGCGGGGCGCGGCGCGGCGGGGCGCCGTGAGGCGGCGGGGGCACGGAGGGGCCGGGCGGCGGTTGGTTCCCGCGGCGGGAGTGGCAGGTGCGCGCGCGGCGGGGCGGGGCCGGCGGCCGTGAGGCGGGGGCGGGGCCCGCGCGTGAAGGGGCGGAGCCGCTCCGCGCCCGCCCCGCGTGTCCCAGCCGGGATTTAAACAACGGATGGAAACTTCCCGCTGGGAATTATCGTGTGCCCACGGCCACGCAGGGCTGTGCCTCGGGGCGGACCCTGCGCGACACTTCCCAGACCGCGCACCGCTTGCAGGGCTTTAGATGAAGTAGTTAGCAGAGCTCTGGGGAGCGGCTCAGACTCAGGTCCTGCAGCCTGCCTTGAGAGCTCCTCTGTGCTTCTGAGCTAGACTTAACAACCCCTTTTTGCAAAATGAAGCATCTCCCCCCCACAAAAATGTAGCAGTGACTGAGGTATTCCCTCTCTAACGGGAAGCAAGTTAAAAATGGGAATTTTCAATTTCCAATTTGCAATGTGAGCCAATTAAAAAGAATTACAAATTATTAAAGTATGCATTTTGTCAAAGGGTAAATACTTCCTTTTTGTGCTAGTTTGATAAAAAGGAAATGCTAAAAATTATACAGAAAGCAGTCAGTGTGCCTTAGGACTCTCCTGCTGTATTGGTCCATGGTTTGAAATCCTGGGGAATGTTCTGAGGAGCTTAAATTCCAGTCATCTTAATTAGCACCTTAAGAGCTGAGTGGGTTTCATTTAAGACCAGGTTTTATAGCCTGTCTTCAAAGGCTGAAATTCAAAAGTATCACTGATATGTTGATACGGAATTTACGATGAAAAGTACCAGAAGGTATTGCAGATATTTACGTTAGAGACATATGTGCAACTTTCTTACAGAGGCACCTGTTGTACTACAAAAAGCATTTAACATATATTAAAAATCACTTCAGATGTTGCTTTGCAAATATGGTGATATAGATTGAAGAAGAATTAGTTGATGATGTGGTAGTAAACTTGGAAATTTTATCAATTCTCTGTTCAGAAGCAGATCTGAACAAGGAGGAAAACAAACCTGTTCAGATATTTTAATGAGTCATGGATTTTACCATAAATTAGTACTGATGAGTTCCACTTGAAGTGCCTCCTTTTGGATGTTTTTTATGATTGAAACTTTGGGTGGTCTGCCTTAAATGGAGATCTCTTAGTGTTCAAAGAGAGATCCTTTGGGGTGGAGGGTGTGCTGTGTTTTGGTGGGTTTTTTCTCCAAGTAGGAGGAATTTGTGCTTGTATCTTCTGGGGTGTACAAAACCCTGGAGTGCTTTGTCTGGATAGTTGTGCCTGCACAGTGAGCACTGCTGAACGTGGAGACTCCCCACTAATCCTGTTTGGGCTTATGGGTTTTTGCCCAATCTATTTATAGAACAAAACATTACAATGCTTAAATACACATCATGAGTAACCGCTCTGCTTTTGAAGTGAAAACAAAAGCTGCCTACTGAAATGATTTTTTTTTTTCACTCTTAAGGGCTGGTCCCAGGTGTGTTATTAAACATGGGCTTCTTTCCTTTTCCTTTCATACTCCTAACCAGGACATGCCCAGTGGGACCAATATCTTTTTTACTGCAGACTATTCCATGAGAAAATGCAGGCTGTGCTGTCGAGCTGTTCTTGCTATTCTTAGAAATCACTACCATCCTGTAGGTTTTCCAGAAATTGGGAGGGGTAATTAAAGGCTGAGGGATGCCTGCCACCAGGCAAGGCTTGCAGAAGCTGGCCAGGCTCAGGTCCCGTGTGCTGCACTCTGCTGAGGCAGTGCTGCAGCAGTGCCTGCCTGCCAGAGCATTTTATTTTTGTCCAGTGATTATCAGGAAGGCTGCCCAGGAGGAGCTGGCTGGGGATTACAGGACAAACAGCACAAAGCTGTAGGAAACCAGGTTTTGGCAGTTGCGTTGCAGTTTGCTTTTGTAGCTGCCCTCTCTTCTGCAGGTTGTGTCTAAGAGGCCTTAAAACAGGTTGAAATGCAGTATTTTTGAGTATTCTTGCTGAGATTAATTTTGGGTGTTTCACCAGAGGCTGGCTGCTGTCAGGGACTTTGCTTTGCTTTTGAAATGCCATCTATGCAAGGAATAAACAGTGGAAGTTGGCTTATCTGAAACACTGTTTATCTGTGAATAAGCTGGAAGCAGTCACATTAATTTAAAATGTTGTTTGTAGGCTTCTGAGTTTCAAAACAAAAAGAAATAATCGCAAAAATCTCCTCCTGGTCCTGAGGAATCTCATTATTAAGAAGAAAATTTCAGGTGTTTATGATGAGGAAAAATGACTTGATTTACAAGGAGAGAAGGCTGCTGCAGAGGAGCCCTTAAAAGCCTCATGCGAGTGAAGTTTTATTGTCATTGGAAACGAAAAGATCACAAACAAAAAAAATCCACTAAAAGACAAAGCAATCCTCCCCCCAAGCAAAAATCCCCCAGAACACTGTCTGCAGTGTTGTGTAACCAAAGTGATAGTGTTATGCAAGGGGGAGAAGAGTCAAAAAGTGAAAGGACTGTAAACAAAAGCTGGGAAGCGAGGGAGTGCCACCCTGTGTGCTGAGTTGTGGCTGGGTTTTGTTGTGTTTCTTTTAACAGGGTGCTGCTAATCACAACATGAAGACACTATTTTCAGGATTTAGGCAAATTCTGTTGAGGTAAGCCTGGTAGGGAACGGGTATAAGGAAGAAGTGTCAAGGGAAGACAAAGAAATCAGCAGAGGAAGAGGCAGAGGAGCAGGAGCCACTGGGGGTTAGGAACCTGTAGCTGCAGTGGTGGAGGGGAGCAGGGTGCTAAACTGCAATTCCCAGCTAGATCCTCCTGGGTAATTAAGGCATTAGGGGAAGATAAACATAAAGTCACTTTAGACATCAGTTGCTTTACTGTGTTTGTCTAGTACTTGTTTCTTCCCTTCCCCAGTACTTATTTCATGTCAGTTTTTCTTTTTACAGTACTTTTTAGTCTTTCAAGTGGAGTGTTTATTCAGTAGATGAAAAGCGAATTGTTTGCCAGTTTAGCAGAATTTCGGCTGTTCTGGTTTTGAAACCTCAAGTAATACACAATGAAAAAAAAATCTATGAAATGGTTTACCTATGACAAAAAAGATTTTCCCAGAAGGAAAATACTTCACTGGTATGCCATTGTGCAGTACTTGTCTTCCCTCCCTCTTTGCCTTTATTTCTACCCCCATCCAAGGTAGTAGGTTTTGCTCTGGAAACTCCCTTCCAATATGGGTGGAATTAAATAATTTTAGCAGCTTCCTGCCAAAATTAAATAAAATGTGTAAAAATGTAAATTGTATGACTTTCACCAAGCCAAGTACTTGTACTAAACTTTATGGTTTTTTGCAGCAGATACTTTGTTTTGCTGCTGTACCTATGACACTTTATGTGTGTGTGTGTGTGTGTGTGTGTGAACGTCTTGGAGAAATGCCAAGGGCTGGACACTGTGGCAGTACCAGCTTTTATAAGTTCTTTTTGATGTCACTGTAGTGAGATGAGCACACCTGAATATCTCACACTGTCTTCAGGGCAGAAACATTGTATGACATTTCCAAGTTGCTGAGTAAGGGGCTAATTGAGTGATTTCCCTCTTAAAAAGCATTTTACTTATTTTTTAGCTGCTTTGTAGTTTAAGCATACTTGGTGAGGCACTCCAAATGAGTGATTTGTCAATGCTCTTTTGTTCAGTGTTTGTGTTCCGTAGAGGGTGTTTTGATTCTTCCCCTCTTTCCCCTAGAAGAGTTAAAAAGAAGTCCCCCAGATGGAAAAAAAAAAAAATTAGTAATGGTATTCATGCAATTTTGGAAATTTGAAACTGTACCAAAAGGGTATGTGGTGTTTGAGGGAATGTGGAGTTAAAACAGAGCACTATAAAGTTTTGTGCTGCCAGTTCTTTGAATAACCTCCATCTTCATACAGGTATATGATCCACATCTCCAAAGTACTTTTTTGCCTGAACAGCTGCCGTGTGTGTGGATGTTTCCTGGGTTTCAGGAGTAGCAACCTGTGCCTGTTGAACCACTCAGACTAAGGGAGGTGGATGGTGAAGCTGGAAGAGTTATAAATACATTGCTAGGTGCATCCACCAGGTTGATGGTGCTCTTCTTGGAGAGCTTCTTGGAATTCTCAGGGAGAGGTCAAACACAGGAACTCCTGAGCTCACATTAACCCCACAGAGGAACTGTTCCGTTCTCTCCCCTTACGTTTTAGCCATGCACAGTTGCTCTGATTGCTATAGTTATTTGCCGTTATGTTAGGGCCAGGGAGGCATTGGTGTCTGAATTCACCTTCCTTTGGTTTCACAAATTTGCAGGCCTGCTGGCTTTTACAAGAGGAAAGACACGAGTCAGCCAGGTGCTGAGAGCATTGCTGAGTCACCAGTGCTTTTAGGATTTGGGTCTTCAGCTCTCAACAGTGCATTCCCCTGTCTGATCCCAGAATGGGGTTCTTTCTGAACAGCTCTCCACTGGGAGGACTTTGTGCTGGGCTCCTCTTAAGACTGAAGTGATCGGTTTATTTATAAAGGTTAAAATCCTGGGGATTTTAATGGTATCATTTATGATTAGCAGTAGGACCACCAAACCTGGTGCCAGTGATGCTAGGAGGGTGATGAAAACCTTATGGATGAAGTACACATGAGCAATGAAAGGTGAATAAAGCATACAGAGAGTGGTAAGGCAGTAGTGGAGCATGTGGCTCTCTGTGTTTTCCTTCATGTTTTGAGGGTTAAGGAGCAAGTATCCAAACTGCTATTTCTCAGCTCCCTAGGTTTCCACATCTCACTTGAATGTTTGCACCTTCAGTATAAAAAACATGTAGTTATAAACAAGCTAAGGCTTCAGACAGATCTTTTCTTAAGATCCATATGTCGTAGTCTCAGAATCATTGACCCCTTATGGGATCTGTGCATTGAAAGTTGCTGAGCTAGGCAGTTGCTGTGGAGATCAAGGAAACTGGAGACATGAAAAGGAGGGCAGTGGAAGTGCTGCTCAACTAGTACACAGTTCAGCAGAATTTACTGTGGCATTGCTGTGCTGCACTCACTTTTGCTACTGCTCATATGGTTTCTGGTTTTGTCTCTAGCTTCTTAATGAAGGGCTGACAGGAACTTACCTTTCAGGCTTCTGCAGGCCATGTTCAATTAGATCATTCATTGGGTTTATTTAACCATCTCCTAAACAAAGCTGTAAGTACTGTGCAAGTGATTCCTGTGTGGAGTACATACAGTATGACTTGGCAACATAGCTTCTGACAAGAAGGGGTGAAGGTTGACATTGGTCTTTTGATCCCAAAATCTGGGAGCCCTTTGTTAATTGGCAAGCCACAAGCAAAAGGATTTGTCAAGGAGAACTGTCATTTCTCAATTTGTTATGAAAAATAATCTGTATTATTACACAGACAGTGCCTGATGAGTAGAGTGGTATTCAAAGGCACAGGAAAGAATTCTTTTTTGGTAGGAAACTTCAGAACATAGAGGTTTCTATTTTGAAAGCATTAGCCTTGTTGATTGGTTTCTAATGTGTATTTATAAGAATACATAATAATTAATCAAATGCTTTCTTTATATAGATTTACAGTAAATATGTTTCTCACAATAGTGCCAGTCACATTGCTCAAGGACATGTTTTTCAGTTTAGGCAAGGTTAGATGTCAGACCTGAACTTTTTGGTTCTTATTTCTCAGACTGATAGAATCAAAAATGAAATGAGGTATGGACAGTTATTCCCCTGAGATGTAAAGGCTTTCATTGCACACGGAACAGCCTCTGAATGAAATAAAGAAAAAACAGAAAGGGTGTTCTTGTTTGACTTGGGAGGTAACATAGTCTGTGTTCTTTAGATAACGTCCTTCTTTATGGAATTTTTGAATGGCGTTGAGAGAATGAAATGTCTAACAGAGTTGTTGTATTTGTACTGTGTCATGAAAATGAGAAAATTTACATGGCCCATGTTATTTTCAGGTTTGCTGTAAACTACCTACCGTAGCTATAATGACACCAGCTCTCAGAGAGGCAACAACAAAAGGTCATGGTATCCACTTGTCACCTTCTTTGTCCTCTAGAGCTATGGAGTCTGATACAGCTTTGTGCATGGAAAATTCCAGAGCAGTGGAAGAGAAGATAAAAGAGGACTCCATCGCACGGATTACTTGCTCAGTCCTGGGGTTCCCCACTGCTGAGCCCAGCCTCAGGAATGATATCTTCAGTGTGCAGCATTTTGGTTCCCCACCATCCTCCAAGTGCTATCAGTCGGTCTTGTTAATGAGTACAAATTCTGCGTTTAACAACAAAACTGGTAAGCAAACGAAAGCAGGAGAGCCTGGCTGCTCCAAGATGAGAAAGTCATTACATAATGGGGCTGACACATCATTTGGTCATATTAGTCATTCAGAACCTGAGCAACAGGTCAAAGGGGCAGTGTTTTCAGAGACCACATCTCCAAACTTAGCAGGAATGCAGAGACTTTCAGGTTCAAGTGTAACTGAATCCAGTAATGCAGAAGAAATGCAACTTTTAAATGGTAAATGGTACAAGAAGAATGGGGTTTTGGGTAGGGCTTTGGAAGTCTGCACTGAAACAATAAAAGGGGATTTATTACACCAAATTCTTCGCGGGCCTTCAGAAGGGATTTTGAGCTGCACCCAGGAGGAGGTGTGTGCTCGCTTACTCCAGTGTGTCACTAAGCAACAAATGGAAATCAGTCGCGCCAAAAGAACTCAGAAGCGTTTACAAATGCTCCTGGCAAAGCATGTTATCAAACACTGTGATCAGCAGCTGAAATGCTTTGTGAAACATCAGCTTCAGAGAATGAAGGTTTTCCATGAGCCAGCTAGATTTTTGAGCAATAGCTCCCTCAGATGCACTGAAGGTTGGCCGGAAAACAACACAACTCCTTCGGAGAGTAGTTTGAGTGTGGATGTACAGAACGGAGTTAGCGTCGCACCAGGTGAAATCCGTAGCTTTGCACTTTCTACTGGAGGGCTGCTGTCTCGTGTGGAGAAGGACCTGGACTCTGATGCAACGTGTAGCAGCTCAGATGAAGATGGTGAGGAACAGACTGTGGAAGCGTAAGTGTTAAATTCCTGCTTAGACTCATGTGCTGCTTCTTACTTATAAATCAGGATGGAAGGGTCTAGACCTACAGATTCCATCTTGTGTGAGTGTCCTCACTCAATAGATAGTCTTACTGAAATCAGCAAGACTGCCAGTGTGAGCTGTGTTTGGCAGAAAGTAAGAACTTCTAATTAATGCATTAAAGGAGCAGTTACTTTACTGGATTGCAGAGAACTAGAGTTTGTACTGCACTCTCTCAGTTTGCATTACATCAATACTGCTGATACTTGAATGGTGCTGTAAATCAAATAGTGATCGCTGTAAATACTTGGGGCCAGAATGAAAATAATTTTAATTTTACTCTGGAGTTATTAAGAATAGGCAATATGAGGATCTTGAAATCCACTATGTTGTGATAAAAATTAAAAATTATCATCTGATGCAGGTATCAAGCCATCCAGTATTTGGTGGTTGGTATATTGAAAAAGTTTGATTCTTTAACTTTTAATTTTAAAAATATTAATTTACTTCCTGAAGTCACTCTGCAGCTATGAATGTAGCTAAGAATGGAGTTTTTATTATTGCTGGTATCTTTTTTCAGGATGAACCAGAGGGGAATTCATATCATTAACTAGTAGTGTGTTAAGTTGGCAGGAATCCTGTCAATACAAATTACAAATCAGTGGTGGGTAAGAGGTGATAGTAAAATTGCTTTCTGATGATGGTATAACTTTTTTCTTTTTTTTTTTAACCTCTACCTTGCTACACTGTTAACACAATCTCTTCAGCCAAGAAATTTTAGAAAGCAGTGAAAGGACAGCTGCTTTCCTCTTTCCAAAGCTGGAGAGATGAGCATGTCTTAAGGTTTGTTGGGATATAATAGTCAGAACTGTGATGCGCAGAAGAGAGCTGCACACAAATGCAGCAGCTTGGTGGGGAACTTCATGATACCCACGTTTCTCATGGGCTCTTATAGATAGTCAGGACAGGGTTTGTGTTTACTGGTCTTTCCTTATACCCTCTGCTGTCAGAGAGTGTCTAGAAAAAAATAAATTAAAAAATACTTAAAAACACTTACTTCCCATTCTGCTTCCTGAAAAGCATAATGCTCAGAAGAAATCAAGTAAGCTTCTGAAACTGGAAGACCTTTGGCCTGTTACATATTTATAGTTTCAGTCCAGCAAGGCTGTGTCAAATCTCTGTTCTGCTAAGCTCTGTAGGTCTGAAAAACAGAGGAGAAAATGTTTTCATTTTCTTTTACGTATTGTCAGAACGGTAAATACTGTGCTGAAGTCCAGCCAAAGCATAATGACTTGCCAACTAAGTTAGAAACACCTTAAATATTTGAGTTTGCAAAATAATTATTCTTTTGAAATATTTTAATAAAAAACATCATTTGGGCTCTCCCCAGCATAGGAGAATCCACATTCTTGATACACTTGAACTTCTAAGTAATAGTTCTGCCTCTAGGATTCTTATCTTGTGATTACATGAACTGAAAAAGAAAACTCTTGAGAAATTCTTGGTTCTTGAATGGTAATGGATAATGTAAAACTTGGACCAAAGTTTTGTGTGATGGTTTCCTTTTCTCTTCCTGACAGGGACACTCGAATTTCTAACTCTCCCTGCCAGTCCTTTTATTCCTTCTTGTGGCTTTTAGCAGTTATCTTTCCACTTTAAAGCTCACTCAGTTTACTTTGTTGCACTGATGAAAAAATCCACAGAGGATTATGAAGTGCAAACCCATCACCTTTGGCTCAGGAAATCCCAGAGCTGCTATTGCTGGGAGCTGAGGGAATGTTCATATTGCTGGAGAAGCAGTGCTCCCTCCATGCCTGCTGCACTGGTGTAACATTGTTATCTCAGCTCTTGCTGGGAGGCAGGAGACCTGGGTAAGATGATCTGTTCTCTGACTCAGTGTGGCCCTTTATTTTGGGTTGTTTATTCTTCTCCCTTTCTTTGTGTTCTTACTGATGAGCAGTTGTTCAGCAGCAGCGGCCTTGCTACATTGGCAGGGGAGGAGTCACTGGTGTTTGAGGTGTGCTGCTGGGCCAGCAAGCTCAGAGTACTGCCTGGTTTAAGCAAAAGACTTGTCTGTGTGCCTAGGCTGAGGCAATGCTCGAATTAACATGCAGGGGGGACAGGCTGTCTCTTACTTGAATTTATCATTATCTTCAGCTCAGAATGTTTTTCTCCATTTCTCCAAGCTTCCTGAGATTTGCCTTTGTGGCTAAAATGCTGCCCTTTTTCTTGGAGGTAACAAAGGTAAATAAGTTATTCACCAGTTCGGCTGGTGAGAGTTCCTGTTTCCTTGCTACTTTAAGGCCTTCTGGACTGCCTTTCATCTGGACAAAAGAAGCAAAGTTAGTATCCATTTTTATTTCTGCTGAGTGGATTTACATGCTTTGAATTGCCTTTCTCTCCTTGGGAATTGGCTATAAGTGCTTTTCAAAAGCAATGGGATCATGTAGGTGAGACAATACTCATTTCCTCACCTGTATGGAAATTTTTATTTTTCATATGATGGCTTTTACTCTGAATTTCTCTGTGATAATCTTCATAATATTTAACTGTAGTTACTGTAAGGTTCAGATGATGTAGTGATGAATGGAAAGAATGTTTTGGTTCTGCCCATATCTCAGTGTACTGATAGCAATTAACTTGAGAATATAATCATGCTGGTGACTGATCATTGTTGTGACTGTGGTGTTTCTCGTTCTTTTTGTGGGGGGAGGAGGTATCAATCCAATGTGCAAGGCATGCAGTTACCATGTCTACCTGAGAACAGTCTGTTTCCCATCAGGAGGGAGAAGTTGATTCCAGCCCCAGTTCCTCGTGCTACGTAACAAACCTGGAGTTATTTTTAGCATTTTGAACCTGTTCATTCTCATTATCCTGAAAAGAGTTTTTCCCAATGAGTATTGACATAAGCTCTTCTGAGCTGTATCTCGGTGCTTTGTGGCTCAAGTAAGATTGTCTTTATCCATCTATTTCAATACCTTTGTTGTTCAGTTGCAAATAGCTGTTGTGAGATATTTAAACCATTGTTCCTGCATTACATAGATTCTGTCCTCAAGACAAGAGAGATCCTTGGTCTGCTGGTGAAGGCAATTCACAGTACTTAACAAACTTCTCTAGTTCCTAGAGTAATTGGAAAGGCTCATCTCATTTCAAGAGTTTAATCAAAACGTATTTTATTCTTTCAAGAGTCTATTAAAAAGAAATATGAAAAAACAATTGGCTGTCTTCAGGACCTTTGTAATTTTGCTGCTGCTGTCAGCTCATGAATGTCTTTAACCTGACAGTTTTCATAGCACCACATTTCCAGCAGTAATTTTTGGTGTATTTTAGGACATTCCATCCTTTGGGCATAGGAAATTCTCTCAGGGGTTGTGGTTGATCTTCTCTGTAGTTTCTCAAAGGCAGTTTTTAGGTGCTGCTCTCTGGCTCACTGTTAGGTGTTAGAAACCAGAGGAGACAGAGTTCCCAAGGAAGGCAACACAAAGCTGACCATGAGTAATTCCTTTAGGGGTTCATAACTAGCACTTGATTTGCAACATCGACAGCATTTCACCAGCTGAATTTACTTGAAACTTGTTGATCTTTGTGGTTCATGAAGATGAAAGATTATACATAGAAATGGTCATAGATTTCAAACAAGGTGAATTGGATGATGATGTGAGCTCAAACGTTTTTCAGTAATACAGCTGCACTCTGGCAGCAGTGTGTATCTTGCTAAGCTTTAACTCCTCATTCTTATTGATGTATTTTGTGTCTATTCCTGATGTAGTAGGAAATACAATGTACCACAAAGAACTCTGATGCTCAGGTAGTCTTTTGGGAAACCTTTAAAGTTGCAGAGTAGAGAGTTTTGCTTCTGTGTACACTTCATGTGTGATCTTCCAGAATCAAAAGCTACATCACTGTGGTTCTTTGAAGAAACAGCTGCTCACTCCATCAAACAGTAGTACATGCATCTAATCAATTAGAAAACCTGCTTGCAGTAGATTTTTCTGCAAAATAAATAGCTCTTCCTACTCATGACAAATCCTGTGCCTTGTTTTCCCAGTTCTCCTTTCCCTATCCGAATGCAATCCTTTTGCATGGTTTGGTGGGATTTTCCCTCTGAAATGTTTTCATGCCTTTCCTTCTGATTTCTGAAAGACATGTTTTACTGATTATCCTCCAGCAACCTCAAGCTTGACGAAGAGGCACTGTTATATTTTTCCATGCCCACAGGATTTGTTGTGCCTGGAAACTTTTATAATGAATGTGAAGAGATAGTAAATCATTCTTTTTTTTTTTTTTTCTCCTTTATTTTTTTCCCCCCTTAGATTGCTAGTTGGAAAGAGAAGATGGGAAATCTGCTTTTAGTACAAACATGTGATGGGGAGGGGAGCAGAGAAAATACAGGAAGGAAGAAAACATTATGACTGGTATCTCCAGATCTAATCTGTTTGTTCTAGATGATTTTCCACTTTTCCTAGCATTTTTTCTTGTGGCTAACTGAGCAACATCAGTGCAGTTCTGCAGGCTTGGCTATACATGACACTGCTTAAGGGACAGGGTTTATTGGAAGTCTTGGAGCCATGTTATAAAGGGAGGCTGTTTGTTTTTGGAAGGTCAGGTCCTAATTTTCCACACTGAGCTGTAATTTCACTTCATGCCTGATATGAGAATTGAATTATGAGTTTGGGAAGGGGAGGAAGAGAGTCTGCTGGGATAAAATGCTGCTCTTAGGCACAAACCCCCACTTGTTTCTGGTTTTAACACCTTTTCAGTTTATAAGTCCAGGAAATGTTTTATTTGCATAGAAGATTAATATGAGGACTTTTGAATAAGTATAAATTAATTGGTGCAAATAATATCCTCATTTAAGAATGTTTTGTATGTTGCTCTTTTTCAAGAATTCCGTTTCCTCAATTCTTGGCTCCTATCCCTAGGATGTGGGAGGAGAATGGAAGAAAAGATAGCTTTACATTACCTTCTGTTTTAACTCTCAGGATACATATAT